CTTTGGCTCAGGGCATGATCCTGGTCCGGAGATCAAATCCCACATCCGGGTCCCTGCAAAGAGCCTGTTTCTCCCTTCTCCCTCTGTCTATCTCTCTGCCTCTCTGTGTGTGTCTGTCATGAATAAATAAATTAATTTTAAAAAATATATATTCATGAGAGACACACACACACACACACACACACAGAGGCAGAGACACAGGTAGAGGGAGAAGCAGGCTCCATGCAGGGAACCCGATATGGGGTTTGATCTCCGGACCAGGATCATGCCCTGAGCCGAAGGCAGGCACTAAACCGCCGAGCCACCCAGGGATCCCAATTTAAAAAATCTTTAAAAAAAATCATACCCCAAGTTTTTCATGCAAGGGTTGGGATCTCTGGGTCAGAAGCCAAGCATCCTAGGACCCCCTCAGCTGGGACCCAAGCTCAGTTGGTGTCCTCTCCCTTCCCCCTCTCTATGTCAAAATTTCCTCTGATCTCAGATGTTCAGGAAGCTGCCTTCTGTCATCCTGGCTTCTTTTTTTGGAGAAGTCTAGGATTTCATTCTGCAGACTCAGCTCTATTTAGTGTAAACATCCTGGTTCGTGACCACTCTGCCCAAAGTAATAAAAATGGGGATCAAAAGGAAGGGATGGGGAGGGTGAAAGTGCCCCCCCCAAGTCCTCCTACTGAGATGACCCAGCCACCACCTGGAGATGCTTGGTGCTAAACCAGAATGGGGACCAGATTTGGGGTCCAGGAGCCTGGCTCCACCTGCACCTTCCCCATTGCCTGGCAGTGCTCAGGATAACTAGTGACCCCAATACACCATCCCTCTCCACCCTTCCAGGCCTTAGCACAGGCTGTATCCTTGCCCACCTGGAAAGTCTTATCCTTCCAGCAAGAGTAGCTCATTGCCATCTCTTCTGAAGCCTTTTGCCTCCTGGTCAGCTCAACAGAACTCTTATCTCCCTGAAGCAGAGGGTTTATTTATGTGTCTGCCTCCCTGCCTCCTCTGTGAGCTCCCTGAGGACAAAGAGTCTGTCTTATTTATCTCTGGTTCTCAAGGTTCTAGGGCAGGCCCCACCACATACTGGGCCCAGCTGAACGAAGAAAGGGAGGGGAGCGTGACACCACATCAGACACTTACAGGACCAGGAAGACCAGAGGAAACGCCCCGCTCCCCTCATCTATTCTTGGCCTAAATGCCTTCTCTCATCTGGCCCCAGGATGGCCAGAGAGCCACTCCCAGTGGAAACCACAGTTTGGAGTGGAAGACTTTCTTCCACAGCTTCCCCGGGGCCAGGCCCACTGGCCTTGGAAACTGCCTTGGTGTTATTTAAACTGCAGAGCAGTCTCTGGGCAGCTCTGGCTGGACCTGGGTGGGGGCAGCCTGGATCAGGATCACACTGGAGCCTCCCTTCCCCAACCGCCAGGACCTCAGGGTTTGAGCTAGCCGTGTGGTTCCCTCTCAGCAGCTTCTGGCAATAGTGGGAAAGAACAAGGGGGTTAAGATATGTGGCAGCCTGAGCCTGCTGAGCCTGTACATTTATGTTTCTGCTTTAATATGGAGGCTGGGCTTTGTCCTGAGTTGAGTTTGAGGTCCTCAGAGGCTCTGCCAGCAGACTCCCAGCCATGATAGGCTAAAACTGGAGGAGCCCTGCTTATCTCAACCATCTCTCCCAACTCATGAGGCTTCTTACTTCAGAAAAGGTGATTAAGTGCTCGAAAAGCCCCAGGATCGATCTTTGCTTGGCCTGTTCATACCTATCTCCGGAGTAGAGGACTCCAGGCTGCTGGCAGAGACTCTGTCACAGTACGCAGCTCATGCTTTTCTTGGCATCTCAAAGGCCGCTGCTTTGGTGTGCCCACCACAGAAACCAGAGCCTGGAATAGAAACAGGGATACCTGAAAAAGTCATCCAGACTTCAATCCAGTGTGGTCTGTCTGTGGCCAACACATATTTACAGAGCATTAGGCATGGGGAATTAGGACTGGGAATGGGGCTACAGATGTGAAAAAGCCCCAGCCCCACCCGTATGCAGTCCAGCCTGTGCTTAAGCACAGGCTGCTCTAGGAATAAGAAGAGGGGACCTGACTAGGCCTGGGTGAAGAAAAGTTCAGGGAAGGCTGCCTGGTGGAGGTGATATCTAAAGTAAAACTTGAAGAGGGCACCAGGGTGGCTCCGTCGGTTAAACATCCCACTCTTGATATTGGCTCAGGTCATGATCTCAGGGTCATGAGACCAAGCCCCATATCAGACTCCACGCTCAGCAGAAAGTCTGCTTGACATTCTCTCTCCCTCTTCTTCTGTCCCTTTCCCCTACTTCTGCCCCTCCTCTCTACTTCCCCCAATTCCCTCTAGCCCCTACTCGCCCTTCTCCCCCCTACTCCTTTCTTCTGCCCCCCCCAAAACTAAATAAAAATTTCAAGTAAGACTTGAAGGTTAAATGAGTCAAATTGGGGAGGAAGAGTGAGAGCGAACAGCATATGTAAATGCCCAAGGTCAAGAGAGAACCTGGCACTTTGGGGGAAATTACACATAGTTCAAGATGGCTGGGACCCGATGAAGGAGAGGTGGTTTGAAGCTCTGGATCATGAATAACATGAATGTATGTAAAGTGCTCAGCACAGCCCTTACTAAATGCTCTGCCGTGGTAGCTCTCATTATACTTATGATCTTGTAAACCAAGTTAAGGGTTTGTAGTCAGTGGGGAGGCACTCAAGGGTTTTGAGCCCAGAGTGACTTGATCAGATTTGCCATATGATCAGATTTAAAGAGATCTCTGTGACTGCAGTATGGATTATGGACTAGGAGAGAAGCAAGGCTGGAGGACGAGAAGACCGGTTTAGAGATTGGTTTTATTCATTCATTCATTCATTCATTCATTCATTCATATATTTACATAATTAACCAATAGATTAACTCATTATTTATGTAAGTGTAATTTTTTGTTTCTAATTATAATCTATAATAATTCAGAAAGAAGAAATGGTGGGAGGCTTCAAATATCTCCCAACAGTAGAATAAACATACTTTGGAAGACAGTACAGCAATGAAAATTAATGCTGCCACATGCAACAACATAAATGGGTTTTGCAAGTGCAATGTTGAACAACACTGTATAATTCCATTTGTATAAGATTCAAGGAACAGGCAAAATGAAAGTACAGTGTTTAGGGATACATGCTTAAGTGGTAAAACTATACAAGCAAAGAAGTGATTATCGCAAAATCAGTGATTACCCTGTGCTTTGTGATACTTTGACCTGAGTGATGGTCACCTGAGTTTTCACTCTGATAAATCATGAAGTTTCTTTCTTTTTTTAATCATGAAGTTTCATATTTCTGTTTTGTGCACTTCTCTGTATGTGTGCTATTTTTTTAAAAAAGATATTTATTCACGAGAGACACAGAGGGAGAGGCAGAGACACAGGTAGAGGGAGAAGCAGGCTCCCTGTGGGGAGCGCAATGCTGGACTTGATCCCGGGACCCCAGGATCACAACCTGAGCCAAAGGCAGATATGCTCAACCACTGAGCCAGCCGCCAGGAGCGCCTGCATGTGTGTTATTCTTAACAATAAGGAGGTTTCAAAAATAATGGTGCTTGCTCTATAGGTAGCAGGAATGCGGATGGAAAGAAGAGGCTTATTTTGACTCTATGTGGAAAGTAAGGAGAAGGGGAATGTGAGCAATGCCCTGGGAGGAACCAATCTGGGGAGCGGGGCAAACAAAGGCAAGGTGCAGTGTTTAACACCGTGAGTCTGAAGTTGGAGATGTCCAGGACCACCGTGTGAGCTCGGGCAAGTCACTTCCCTAAAGTCCAGATTCCCTCTCCTCAAGAGGGAAGCAGCAGTGTGGTTTCATGGAATTGGCTTTGGGTTTTGATGCTGGAAACCCCGGTCTTATGACCCCAGTTGATACTTAGTATGGCTTCATACCATTACTTGACCCCTGCCCTGTCCCTGCAGCCTGTTTGCTCATGGGTAGACTTGAGATAATCATTTCTACTCTCACGATTTCTTGAAGAGGATTAAATGGTAACATAGGATATTAGCACTTGGGATATTTGGTGCTTTCAATTAAGAGTCTCTTAGTAACAAAGGAAAAGATACTTTGAAAGCATAACAGCAAGAACAGCTAGAAGTGACTGTAAGGTTTTTACACTCCAGTGTTAATAAGAACTACCTGGGGAGCTTGCAAACCTGGGCATTCTGTAAGTCTCAAATGACCATATAATTTATTGTCCAAACCAGGGCACTTTTTAAAAAAGATTTTATTTATTCATGAGACACACACACACAGAGAAAGAGAGAGAGAGAGAGAGAGAGAGAGAGAGAGAGAGAGAGAGAGAGAGAGAGAGAGAGAAGCAGGCTCCATGCAGGGAGCCTGATGTGGGACTCGGTCCCAGGATCCAGGATCACAGCCCCAGGCTGGAGGCAGGTGCTAAACCGCTGAGCCACCCAGGGATCCCAAACCAGGGCACTTTTGAGAAAGGAGGCAACATTAATAATTACGCCAGGAAAACAGATATAAATCAAGACTGTCCCAGGGAAAGCAGGACATGTGGTCCCCCTAGGCAGGTCTGAGGTGGGCACCAGGCACCCGGATTTCCTACCAAGCTTCCCGAGTGAACTGGATGCTCTGTGAGGGCAGGGTCGACTGCACCTCCTGCGCCTGTTTGGAGCCGGCTTCCTTTTGGAGGGCTCGAATCTACGTGGAGCAATCCTCATCACTCGGTGAGGCGGTAACAGCCAACGTTTATTAAATGCCAGGTACCACACATGCTGGGTACTGCACAGGTGTCAGTCACCCCAGTTTTCACCAAATCTTTATGAGGTTTGGCGGACTACCTTCAATTAGAGGAAACTAAAGCTTGAAGAGGTCGAACTCCCTCAAGGCCACACATCTAGGATGGAGGCGCAGGGCTCTGAATCTAGCCGGATGATTCAGGGGAGGACCCTAGTTCACGCTACTGCCGCCTATACGGACCATGCCCCAGCCCCAGCCCCAGCCCCAGCCCCAGCCCCAGCCCCAGCCCCAGCCAGCTGCACGGGGCCAGGCACCACGGATGCAGAGGCTGCCTCTGGCTCCGCTAGGGACGCGCCAGGCGAACAGCAGGTGGCAACCTTGGGTTCCTCTTAAGCTACCGTTGAGGTCAGTTCAGCGAGGCGGCCGGCGGGAGGCGGGAGGCGGGAGGCGGAGCCAGCGAGTCGGCCCGCCCCTCGCCCAGAACCCGGCAGGGCGCCGGGCGTGGGGCACCTAGCAACTGCACCTCGCGCTGGGCTGACTTTCGTGGCCGGCCTGAGCTCTTAGCGAGGCCCTGCCCCGCAACTAGGAGCCACAGATACGTCGGTGCTGGGAGAGCCCTTCTGATGCATTTAGCATCTTCCTAACTTTGCCGAAGCCCATTATGAGGTCTCCCACGGCTGTTGAGTTTCTTCTACTCAGGAGCACTTGTAACTAGCGTAGCCTCAACAGTGGGAAAAGGTCCGATCCGCATGCAGCCTGGATATGGAGAGCAGCTGTTAGACATTCTTGACCGAGGCCCAGAGGGCAAACAGCTAAACGTAGCGGTGGCAGCGCCCCGCCGGAGCTAGGACCCAGGGCCCCGCTCCGCCGAGAGCCGCGTCACCAGAACCCCGCCCCCGGTCGGCGTCTCAGCTGAGCGACCGCAGGTTCCCAGCCCGCCCCGCGCCCCCCGGTGCGCACTCTCAGTCCGGTCCTCCCGCCCGGGCCGGTGTGCTCGCGCGGGGAAACTGAGGCAGGGAGCGTGCCTGTGAACTCGATCCTTCCTCAGTCCGCACCCCACGGCCCGCGAGGCTGCCGCGCCCTCTTGAGACCCGCATGGGACAACAGGGAAGGACAGGAGGAAGGGGAGGGGGCCAAAACCCAGCAGGGTCTGTGGAGTCGGCCGGTCCTGCCACACTCAAGATGGCGGCGCGGCAGCGGCGAGGTCCCTCAGAGGCGGTACCAGCGCATGCGCAGCGCGGAGTCCCGGCCCGGGACACAAGATGGCGGCAGCGGCGCTGGGGAGGGCGAGGCGGAGGCGGCAAAACGGGAGGTCGAGCAGAACGTGTAGCCGCGTCCCCTCGAGTCCGCTCCGGGCAGGTAAGAGCCCCAGGAAGCCATGGTCCCGCCGCGAGCCGCTCCGGGGTCCGGGGATCCGAAGCCGAGCGGCGGTGGCCCCTCCGGCGCTTTCCGCTCGGGGCCACCGCTTGCCCTGTCTCTGCCGCCGCCGCCATCTTAGGCCCGCGGGTGGGCGGCCGGGCCGGTGGCTTGGGTGAGGGAGGTGGGCCCGGAGAGCGCGGGTGGAGCGGCCTCTGGGGCCCCTCCGCTGCTGCCGCCGCCACCGCCTTTATGTCGGGCTCCGACTCTGAGTCGCCTCAGCCCGGGGGCGGGAGCGCGCGGTGGGGCGGGGGGCGGAGCCCGGGAGATGGGCCGGCGCGCGCGCGCCAAACAGCCCGCCCCCGCTGGTGTTGGCGGGGAGGGGAAAGGGTGCGCGCGCTGGCGCGGGTGGGGGGGACCCCTCCTCGAGCGGCCCCCGCGCCTGCGCATTTTGCAAGTCCTTTGACTCCGCCTTCCTGGTTCCGAGGGTCCTGATTGGTGCATTGTTGCGATAGTCCCGCCCCACCTTCTTCCAATCCCGTAGCCGGGTTCTTTCCTTCTGGTGGGTTCCTCGGGTTGCGCAGATACGGTTGTTTATTTAAGCCGGTCGGCGGTGTCGAAGTGCGGTATGCCCGGGGGTCGGGGAGCCTCGATAAATAAAAACGTCATCTTAATGATAGAGTCATTTCTTACGTAAAGTGTACAATACGCTGGACTCTACGTATACAGACCCTAGAGGTCGAAAGATTCGTGTTTGTAAGTCAAAAGCGGCAGAAGGATCTGGACCCCGGGTCCGCCCAAACCCAGAACGGGTTCCTCGGCCGCCGACTTGTTGCTTCCAGATCACCTGGGGAATTAAGAAAAAAATTTTAATCGTAAAAAAAATGGTGATTTGAAGCAGTGTTAAGAATTCGTCATCCCGATTCCCAGATCCACCTTTCGGGGTGGGTTTAGAAAGTACAGATTTCTTGTGTATCTCCCCTCCCCATTTCTGATGCCTAGGACGTGAAGTGAGGGACAGGAATCTGAATTGTTTTACGAGCCCTCGTGATGCGTAGTCGGTTGTAAAAGCACTGCAGTGTCCCCATTTGGCCTGTAATTGTGCTGCTCTCGCTGCCCTGTGTAGTTGAGCTACGTAGTTGGTGCCGCCTGGATGCCACACGATATTTACTGGGGAACTGTCAATAAAGATGAACATGCTGTGTTATGTAATGCATTTGCATGTACTACTATTATTGTAATTTTAATGTTTTTTTTTTAAGATTTATTTATTTATTTATTTATTTATTCATTCAGAGAGAGCGAGAGAGAGGCAGAGACACAGGCAGAGGGAGAAGCAGGCTCCATGCAGGGAGCCTGATGTGGGACTCCATCCCGGGTCTCCAGGATCACACCCCGGGCTGCAGGCGGCACTAAACCGCTGCGCCACCAGGGCTACCCCTATTATTGTAATTTTAAAAGATTGATTTAAGAGTGTTTTTTCTGCTCACTGTTGGTGGCTTGGGAGCATGCCCCCCATCTGCGATATGTACAGTTGGCCCTTGAACAACACAGGGGTTTGGGGCACTGATCCTGGCAGAGTCAGAAATCCCAGTATAACTTTCCACTCCCCACAACTTAGCTACTAACAGCCTAATGTTGACTGGAAGACTTACTGGAAACATAGGTAGTGAATGAAGACCTATTTTGTATGTTATGTGTATTATATAGTGTATTCTTACAATAAAGCCAGAGGAAAGAAAATGTTAAGAAAATCATAAGGAAGTGTAAATACATTTATAGTAGTGCATCGTACTGAAAAAATTGCGTGTAAGTAGACCTACACAGCTCAGACCTGTGTCATTCAAGAGCCAAACGGTATGTTCACTTTTCTCTTGTCTTCGGGATATTTTGATTGATAGGAGCAGCTACACAATTCATGGGGTCCAGTGTGCAAAATGAAAATATGGTCCCTCTTGTTAAAAATTCATTAAAAATTTCAAGAGAGTGACAAGAGAGCATGAAACCAGGCTTAGGGCCCTCCTCAATCCGGGCCTGTGTGACTACATGCTACAAGTCTATGAAGGTGAACCTTTTGGTTTGCAAAGCTTGAGGACCATTTTCATCCTTTTAATCTCCAGATCTCCCACAGTGTCTCCTGCCCCGTCCTAGAGGCTCCCAACTTGCTTTGTGTCGCCCCTGTTGCTGTTAGCCCTGCTCTGCAGCATTTCACTGGTCTGTGACTCTCTCTTTTTCTATTTGCTCTGCAGTTGCTGATGCAAGGAATTCCCTGAGCCCCCGTCCACTCCACTGCTGACCAGCCCACCCACCTGTGCTGAACCTCCTGCAGAACTCCCCCCCTGCCTCTGTGGGACCCTGTGACGTGGGGGCCCATCCAGTCGGAGAAGAAAACCCTCTCATGCTAGCGTTGCAGACCCCAGAGGGTGAGAAAAAGAGGGACCTTGTTCAGGCTTGAGACCTATGGGCTCAGCCCCAAGGCACCGGGGATCCCTCCTCCCCAGAGAATCAAGTTTTTTCTCCCCTTGGTTAGTGGTTCCGAACCTTTTGTTACCATGGCCCCCTTTGGTTGTATGTATGTCCTCTTGCTCCGTGCATTTTTACTGCCAAACTGTACCAATGAAGTCACCATTCACTTTTCCCTTTCCAAATTAACAAAGACATCTATGACTGAGTGTACAAATAAAATTAATGTCCCAGTGATTCCTATGATGTTGTCGATAGCCAATCAGAGCTTCTGATCAGCATGAGATAATCAGTGTGACCATGATGAGTTGATAAAATTTTAGCAAGCAAAGATAACTGATGTCTCACCATGCCTTTGTGCTCTTTTTTGGGTAAATGTTTGATTTCTTTGGGTGTTGTGACATATTGAGAACAACTTTGGGATCACCAGTCCAATCTCATTTGGGCCCCTAGGAGTCCACCAGCCAGGTCGGAAATCACTGGCCATTGAGGCTCACACTGGGTGTGCTTTGGTGGGGGTGGTGGAGTATACAGATCTGAAGGAGCTGCCCTGCTTCCTGATGTTTAAAGTAAATTTTCACATGAGGATGAGGAAGGACAGAATTAGACATTTCTTCTCAGTCCTACGGGTTTCTTTAGCAACAGATTGTTTTCTGCTCTGAAGCAGAGAATGAAGCAGCCACTCAGATGCCTGTCCCCTCTGAGCTCTACTCTGTTCCAGTTAGATTTTATTGGATAGGAACAGGAAAGAGGAGGATTTGCTGTTCTTTTTTGTGGGAATAGCTTCTCAGGGGCAGACCCTGTTCTGTCTTCTGTGCCACCCTTTGCTTTATAAATATTTTCAGAATGAATAGAGTTCCTATTGTGTCCAGGTACCATGCTGAGCACTGGAGAGATGAACTGGGCCCAGTTCCTAGCTCTGGGAGTTCTGACCATCTGATGGGTAGACAAACCCAGCTGATAGACAGGACTGGGTGCCACAGTGGAGATGTTCATGGCCCTGCAGAGGAGCTCTGACCACCTGGCTTAGGGAGGGAGAGTCCAAGAAGGCTTTCTGGAGTAGAGTGGACATTGTGACAAACCAGGCAGAGAACTGGGGAGAGTGTGTCAGGCAGAAAGAGCAACAGAAATGCACCCATTTTACAGCCTGAGGGGACTGCAACTTAGATCCTAGGGCTCCTCTGCTACCACACTGGCCTTCCGGAACAGGACTGAATTGATTCCTTCACATCTGCAAGTGGTCAATGGAGCCCTCAGTGGATTGTAATTGGTGGGTGAGGGGTGGAGCTGACCTCCATGTCCTGCTGGCCTGACACCCTTCGGTCCTCTGTGTGGCAGGTCCGGTGTGGGTGCTGAGATGGCCAATGAGAATCACGGCAGCCCCCGAGAGGAGGCGTCCCTGCTGAGTCACTCCCCGGGCACCTCCAATCAGAACCAGCCCTGTTCTCCAAAGCCCATCCGCCTGGTGCAGGACCTCCCAGGTACTGGCGAGGGGCAGGGCAGGGTAGGGTGGCGGGGTCAGAAGGATGCCTCAGGAGTAGCACTGACCCTGGCTGGGTTCCATGCTTCTTTGCAGAGGAGCTGGTGCATGCAGGCTGGGAGAAGTGCTGGAGCCGGAGGGAGAACCGTCCCTACTACTTCAACAGATTCACCAACCAGTCCCTATGGGAGATGCCTGTGCTGGGCCAACATGACGTGATTGTGAGTGCCAGCCTAGGGCAGGGGTCCAGAGCAGCTTCTAACATCTGGGCCTTCCCTAAACGTCTCTTGAGCCTAGCTCCATCTTGGAACCCGGGGATACAATGGCACACAGATACATTCCCGCCCTTGTGTAACCTACACTCAAATAGGGGAGACTGACCCCTAAAAAGATGACTGTATTAGTGTGATATTGAACCTGAACTCCATGTCAGGCACTGTGCCTGTGATGCAGTTGTGAGCAAGATGGATCTGGTCCTGCCCTTGTACTCTCAGGGGGCCCACAGTCTATTGAGTAGCTGGCAGGATGGCGCTGGCACGGGCATGAAGGATAGTGTTAGATTACACCAGGGACCCTGGTCGGCTGGAAGGGAGGGGACAGGAAAAGCTTCTCTTTGAATTAGCATTTAAGGTGACAAAGTGACATGAAAGTTGTCAGATGGGATAAGCGTGTTCTAGGAAAGAAGGGTCAATGTGATCAAGGAAGTGCTAGCACGAGATGTCTCGCAGAAACGTGGGCTTTTGGATCCCTATCCGTTGGGGCAGACTTCATAATTAAGCATAATTAAGCCAGTTGGCACCCCCATTTTGCAGATGAAGACACTAAGGGTCAGAGATGGGAAATGACTGGCCCAAGACCTTGAGCCAGTACGAGGCAGAGCTGGAGTTGAACCCAATGTAATTTCAGGGCCACCCTGCCTACCATCACTAGTTCTTTGTGTCACCAAAGGAGTTCCAGTGTTTAAGGAGGAGAAATTAACGTGTACAGAGGGTTCCTGTCATGTCAGATGTCCTGTTAAGCTGGTCATATTCATGGACTCATTGAATCATCTTCCCAAAGGGAGGTTGGGCCTGCCTTAGCATGGCCATTTTGAAGGTGAGGGAATTAGGAAAGAATGTAACACTCGCAAGGTCACACAGTTGCAAGTGGCAGGCAGGAATGGAACCCCGTGTTCTTTCTGCGTGTCCCAGCCTCTTTTGCTCTTCTCTGAGCAGTTGGAGCAGGGGGGCATCAGGATTCTGTGTTATTGGGTCTCCTAAGCCACTGGCCCCACTCGCAACTCTGCTGGTCTCCCTCCACCAGTCGGACCCTTTGGGACTGAATGCGACTCCACTGCCCCAAGACTCAAGCTTGGTGGACACCCCCCCGGCTGAGAACAAGCCCCGAAAGCGACAGCTTTCAGAAGAGCAGCCAAGCGGCAATGGTGTGAAGAAGCCCAAGGTGAGTGAGTGCAGGCTGTCAGGATGTGCCTGGTAAGAGGCTGTTCTAGGTGGCAACCAGCAGGTTTCCTGCAAGGGCTGGGCAGTGGTAGGTTGGGAGGGGGCCTGGTGCACAGCCTGCCAGCTGCACCAGTGTAGCAGCCATAGGCCAATCCTCCTGACCCTGATACCTTTTTTTGTTGTTGTTATTCTAGATTGAAATCCCTGTGACACCCACAGGCCCATCGGTGCCTAGCTCTCCCAGTATCCCAGGAACCCCAACATTGAAGATGTGGGGGACATCCCCTGAAGATAAACAGCAGGCAGCTCTCCTCCGACCCACTGAGTGAGTCCCTGCTGATGGGCATCCGTCATCAGTGCAGCCTGCATGCCTGGCATCCCTCCCTCCTTTTCCTCTACTTTCCTCAGTGCTCCTTTCTGTGCCCCAAGGGTGTACTGGGACCTGGACATCCAGACCAACGCTGTCATCAAGCACCGGGGGCCATCAGAGGTGCTGCCCCCACACCCTGAGGTGGAGCTGCTTCGCTCCCAGCTCATCCTCAAGCTTCGGCAGCACTACCGGGAGCTGTGCCAGCAGCGAGAGGGTAACTGCTCCTGGGCTCCGGGACCTTTGTTTCCACCTACCCTTAGCAAGGGCCAGGCTCGACCAGCTGGGCTTGGGGATGGTGCTGTGAAGCCTCGTGGCTGAGAGCATAGGCTGTGGAGGGGACAGGCCTGCTGGAGCCCCAGGTCCGCTGACCGCTTACAGAAAGGGTGGCTGGCACCAGTAACCACAGAACTAGTCCGTAACCTTCCAGAATGCTTACTGTCAGATACACGCGAAGCCTTTTTGTGTGTCTGTAAGAGAGCATAGAAACAGAAAAGTGCCTGTACCTCACAGCATGGCTACTACTACGCAGAGTAAGTGGATTGGAAAGCCCTCCGTACGCTGTAGCTTTTATTAGTTGTAAAGCAGCCTGCTAACTATGCAGACATATAGTTTCTCCTTTTCCCTCTTATCTAAGTAACATTTACTCACATTCCGTATAAAACTAGCGGTTCTCAGAGGACACTTAGGGGATGTTGCCTAGAGGATGAGCTGCTGGCAGAGTGGGCTGTCGTCTCGGGTGCCCCATCCCTCCCGTGTGCTGGGCCCACACACAGGCAGCTGACTGAGCCAGACCTTCACTGGCTCTGCTATCCTGCAGGCATCGAGCCCCCTCGAGAATCTTTCAACCGTTGGATGCTGGAGCGCAAGGTCGTGGATAAAGGCTCTGATCCCCTGTTGCCGAGCAACTGTGAACCAGTTGTGTCACCTTCCATGTTTCGAGAAATCATGAATGACATTCCCATCAGGTACAGCCCACGGCTGGGGCCGACTCGGGGGGGCTTTGGGTCTGCGTAGCCACTCCTATGTAGAAGACTCTAACCCTGCCTGCTCTGTATGCCAGGTTATCCCGAATCAAGTTCCGGGAGGAAGCCAAGCGCCTGCTCTTCAAGTACGCAGAGGCTGCTCGGCGGCTCATTGAATCCAGGTTTGCTCTCCTGCCCCAGGAAGCTGGGTGTGTGCTCAGAATGGGGAAGTGTTGGGCTGTCTGGCCATCTCACGGAGCTCAGTCACTGCTCTCCGTGGCAGGAAGAGGGCGGGCTCCCAGAGGAGGAGCAGGGGCTTTGAGGGAAGCCCTGATGCCTCAATGTTAGTGCAGGTGGGTGGGAGGAGGAAGCGTGGAGCAGACGCCGGACAGCTGGCTGTTATGTGCCTTCAACTGGCAGGAGTGCATCCCCTGACAGCAGGAAGGTGGTCAAATGGAATGTGGAGGACACGTTCAGCTGGCTGCGGAAGGACCACTCGGCATCTAAGGAGGACTATATGGTGAGTGGCCCTGGGTGAGGAGGCTGGTGGAAGGGCTCCGTGGCCACTTCCCACAGCTGCCTGCCAAGGCTGGGCTGGGCCCCACGGCAGCCTGTCTGCAGCTCAGCAGACCTCTGATGCTCATTGGTCCCAAAACTCCTGCCACGTAGAGGTTTGTCCAGGCTCCTGGCTCTCTCCTAAAGACTGATCCTGTGCTCGGCCACACATGAGAAGTATCTGCCTTTTCAACTTAACATCTCCCTTGAATAGATTTTTGGACACAGATTGATAAACTGCCTTTTCTTGGGTGTGTGCGCTCACCACAGTTAAGAGCCGGCACCAGATTCAATTCCCTCCTTTACTGTGTCCACAGCAATTCTGTTTTCTGGCCCAGACCCATCACTTCTTTAACTCTCCACCAGCACTAGCAATGGGCTTTCTTTTCAGGACCATTTTTCACAAGAGACAAGGTTTCGCACTTCACGATAGTAACTGTACTTGACACGTAGAGTGACAAAGGTAGGTGTACTCACTAGCCAGTGACTCATTTTCACTCATCACTTTCACACGTGTGATTCAGCAAAATTACAAATGCCTAGTTAAATCCTTGCAAGTTGCTAAAAGCTCAAATTTTAAATCTGCAATGACCAAGGACCCTGTTTTGTAATGGTCTCTTCTCCCTGGTAGATGGCGAATGCTTTGTAAGTGGGGACTGTGCCTGGTTTGTCTGTTTCCCCAGCAATTATCATGAGATCTGGCGCAGTGTAACCCCAACTATAGATGCTGGCATTTATTAGACACTTGCTGTATGCCAGGGGCTTTCTTAAGCCCTTAATGGGAATGATCACATTTAATACTCAAACTGCCTTCTCTGGTAAGTATTTTGTGTTCCCTTAACAGTTGAGAAATAAGACTCAAAAGACACCAAGGGACTTGTCCAAGTGACACAGCTAGTAGGTAGCAGAGTTGGTTTCAAAATGAGGACTGCTGGAACCCACCAGCCCTCCTCCACCAGCCCCCTAGAGCTCTGATCACGAGTGTCTCCTCCAGGACCGCCTGGAGCATCTGCGGAGGCAGTGTGGCCCCCACGTCTCAGCCGCAGCTAAGGACTCTGTGGAGGGCATCTGTAGTAAGATCTATCACATCTCCCTGGAGTATGTCAAGCGGATCCGAGAGAAGCACCTTGCCATCCTCAAGGAAAACAACATCCCAGGTAGGGAGCCAATGGCAGGGAGCCAGCTGTGAGGCTGTCAGCTCTGTTTCCTGGTCCCTGACTGAAGGGGAAAGTGAGGCTTGGTTTGGGGAAACCCGTTTTCCCCAGCAGTGTCTGGGGCAGGACCTGTTGTCCTTGAGCTCAGGTATTTCAGCCCTCCTCCAGGAAGTGGACAAGGGCTGGGAAAGGGGGAGCCAGAAGGTGGTGAAGACAGGCCCAGGGTAAGCAGTTAGGAGGACTTGGGTTTACACCTGTTCTCTGCAAGCCCCCATCTCCCCCACACTGCGGACTAGGATCATACGAGAACTTAGTGGTAACTCAAGAGTGCTGGCCAAAAGAGCTCCCTAAACAAGGTTTTAATTCCTGTGAGAGCGATGCAGTACTCCTGCCTGGCAAACTGGGGGTCCATGTCTGTTCAGAACGTGTTGACCCGGGGCCACCAGCTCTCGCCCTTGCCTGGCTGTTAATGTGGTTATGAAACTATCTGAGCTCTGTCCTGCTCCTTCATGGGATGAGACTTCCCTCCCTCGGCTACTGGGGTATGCGTGTGAGGCACCCAGCATGCAGTAGGCATTGGGGCTGTCCAGGAAGCCATGGCCCCTGACTGCTCTCCCTGCCCACAGAGGAGGTGGAGGCCCCAGAAGTGGAGCCTCGCCTGGTGTACTGTTACCCAGTACGGCTGGCCGTGTCTGCACCCCCTATGCCCAGTGTGGAGATGCACATGGAGAATAACGTGGTCTGCATCCGGTACAAGGGAGAGATGGTCAAGGTCAGCCGCAACTACTTCAGCAAGCTGGTAAGAGCCGGGGTGAAGGGGAAGCAGGTCCCCCCAGGTGGGAGGTGAGAGGAGGGAGGGCCAGCTGCTTCTTGACCCAGTGTCCTCAGCAGGAGACCAGTGATTAGGGAGGGAGGGAGGGAGGGAGGGAGCATTGCTGAAGGCCATTGCCCTCTGTTCCCCAGTGGCTGCTTTACCGCTATAGCTGCATTGACGACTCTGCCTTTGAGAGGTTCCTGCCTCGAGTCTGGTGTCTTCTGCGGCGGTACCAGGTACAGGCCTGGGGCGGCAGTGGGAGGGCTCCTCTAGAGGGTGGGAGAAGGCTGAGCCTCAGAGGCTGACAGTGGCCACCGTGCAGATGATGTTTGGCGTGGGCCTCTACGAGGGGACAGGCCTGCAGGGATCGCTGCCCGTGCACGTCTTTGAGGCCCTCCACCGACTCTTCAGCGTCAGCTTTGAGTGCTTTGCCTCACCCCTCAACTGCTACTTTCGCCAGTACTGCTCTGCCTTCCCGGACACTGATGGCTACTTCGGCTCCCGCGGGTGAGAACCAGGGGCTGCCAGGACCCTCTGCCCAGGGAAGGGGTCCCCTAGAGTGTAGATCTCACCTGGGCCAGCTACTTCCTAATGCTTTAGGGTCTTGGAATCGGGTGGTGTTGGGTGTAAGCCCTTGCTGCCTGTGGGGCCTTGGACTGCTCACTGTACTTCAGGAGCTGGTGGGTTTCTCAGTGAATTAGCGTTGGCTGGGGTGGGAGCACATGGTCCAGGCACTGAGAGGCATGGGAGGTGGGGATTCAGACCTCAGGGACCTGACAGACTCACGTGGGAGATGGGAGGGGAGGGAGCACAAATGAAAGGAGACACAGCCTCCAGCAGAAGACAGGCTGGGCCAAAAAGGGGACAGGCTCTGCAGCTGGGGACCCCTGGTAGGGGCTTGTGCTGTGATGGCAGCAGAGTCTGAAATGGGTTTGAGTTCCAGCCCTTCCATGAAGTGCTTGGTGGACTTGGCCGCCAAACCCAAGCCTCTCCATCCTCAGCCCCCAATGAAGTCGGCCACACTTATGGCCTGACCGGGGCCCATCCCTTCAACAAGGTGGGGGTCGCACCCATTTCTGCTTGAGGGCCTGGGTCCTGGTAGGACTTTGAATGCTCACCTCCGTCCCCAGGCCCTGCCTGGATTTCTCCCCGCTGAGTGGTTCCTTTGAGGCCAACCCTCCATTCTGCGAGGAGCTCATGGATGCCATGGTCTCTCACTTCGAGGTGCGTGTGCTGCTGTGGGTGGGGGTGGCCAGCAAGATTGCCAGCCACCTGGAGGGCAGCCTTTGATGTCTGCCCAATGCCTCCTCCCTCCCACAGAAACTTCTCGAGAGCTCACCAGAGCCCCTGTCCTTCATCGTGTTCATCCCCGAGTGGCGAGAACCCCCCACACCGGCGCTCACCCGCATGGAACAGAGCCGCTTCAAACGCCACCAGCTGGTCCTGCCTGCCTTCGAGCACGAGTACCGCAGTGGCTCCCAGCACGTCTGCAAGAAGTGGGTGCTGGGGGAGGGTGGGGCTGGGAGGACTGGGCCGTCTCGCCAGGCCGAGCCCCACCCTGAGCTGCTCCTTTGCCCACAGGGAAGAAATGCACTACAAGGCCGTCCACAACACGGCCGTGCTCTTCCTGCAGAACGACCCTGGCTTTGCCAAGTGGGGGCCGACACCAGAGCGGCTACAGGAGCTGAGTACCGCCTACCGGCAGTCAGGCCGCAGCCACGGCTCCAGCTCCTCTTCCTCTGAGAACAAGGACCGGGACTCGGGCCGCGAACAGGGCCCTAGCCGCGAGCCTCACCCCACTTAACACATCCTGCAGGGAGGAGGAGCCCCAGGGTGCTGGTATGGACTGCTGGGACTCAGGCCTCTCGGGGCTGAGCAGACCCCAGGACCCTCCCCCTGAGGTGGCTGCAGGACTCAGGCTGCCAGGTCATAGGAAGATTATGGCTCTGCCAGGGCTCCCCCTCCCTGCCCGATCCCCCAACTCCTCACCTCAAACTCACTCCAACTCCTGTGTAAATAGGTCCCATCCCTGCCCTTCCAGTCCCTACCATCTTATTGCCATCTTGTTTCATTTGTAAAAGGAAATACAGAACCCTGCCCTCCCCACTGAGAATGTGTGAGGGTCTTGAGAGCAGAGAAGGCGGAGAACCTGGAGCTAGTCTTGGGACCACACACACACACCACCCAGGCCCACCTTCTTATGACACCCCCCCCCCCCGGCCTTCACACTCCAACCTAGGGCTCTGGTGTCTAACTTCCCACCCTGCTGACCCCACAACTGAGTCTCTGGTGGCCTCTGCCTACATCCAGTGAATGTGTGGAGTCCAAAGGCCCACCTCATCTATGTGCAAGCTGTTCTCACAGCCAGGCCTGCACTCATACCTCCAGGGAGCAGACAGCTGGGGGCTGTGCCCAGGCAGAGCGCTAGACTCCTGCTAGACCTGGAGCTGCCACAGTGAGTGGGCAGCCAGCTGATTCACAGTCCAGGATCAGTAGGAAGAGCAGCTCTGAGCCACCATGGGCTTTAGGGTATGGTCTCCATGCAGATAGGCACCTGGCTGTGCTGCCCTCTGAAGACACAGAGGAGCAGGTATTCTTCTGGGGCCCCGGGGAGAGGGGAAGGAGGTCTGAAAGTGCTCATAGGGGTTCTTACCAGATCAGCCATCTCTCCTAGTATCAGGCCTCTGCCCCAAGGGCCTGCCCTGCTGTTGGCCACCACACTTACAGAGGTAGGGCAGGCCGCACTGTGGAGCTAGGCAGCTCTTGTGAGCTGTAACAGGCTCTTCTTTCCTGCCATTTCCCAAGTCCTTGCGGACAAAAGTAAGATGGTCAGGACTGGACTCTGGTCCCTTTATTGAGACTGAGGGGCCAGTGGGTCCATCCAAACAAAAATAAATTTCTCTCCCCAAAGCCTGCCTGCAGGCTAGGGCACCCAGCATGTCCTGGCTGGGGCCCATGGTTGTCCCCTAAACCCAGCAACGCAGGTCTGGCTCTCTTAGAGGGGCAGGATACTGGCTGCTCAGTGTCTGGAGACCCTAGGCGGAACAGGGAGGGGAGTCCCAGTGGGCCCCCCACCCCCAGCATGGTTGGCCCTGATATCCACAATCTGCGTTAGGCCCTTGGGGCTCAGTCATCCGTCAGGGTGATGACGTCATACTCGATGCCCTGGTGTTGCAGCTGTTGGATGTGTTCAGGCACCGCCTCTTCTGTGCCAAATAAGCCCTGGGCTTGGGCCATGGCAGCATCAGCCACCGCTGTCAGGGGAGGGGAAAGGATGGTGAGCCCAAGGCCCCAGAAGCCAGGCCTGAGTCCCCATGGTTGTCAGGTTCCCGCCCCATACCTGTGACGGCTGAGTGTGCCGCAGCCTCCAGTTGGGCCTGTGTGACCAGCTGCTGGCCTGGGGACACAGGCACATACTGGATCTAGAGTGGAGAAGCCAATGAGATCTGGCCTTGGAGGAGCTTGGCCTGTACCCCAGCACACCCTGGCCCCCTAAAGGCCCTACCTGGGATTCCTGAAGGAAAGGGGCCCCTTGTTCATACTGGATGTGTGTGATCTGGCCTTCCTGTACCTAGAGGGAGAAAGGCCATTCAGTGATCGAGGAGGTTGTACACTCCTCCCCTCACTTCCTGCCCCTACCCAGGCCTGGCCTACCTGGATGTGATGGCCCTCTGGAACCACAACATATTCCTGGGGGAGCAGATGCTGGACCCCATCCTGGGAGATGATGTACTGTACCTGGAAAAGGGTACAGAATAGGCAGGAGCTTAGAGTGAGGAAGACAGAGCAGTGGGCCAGGGACACCCACCATTCATGATGGCAGCTGCAGGTATAGACCCAGGGAGGGGTGGTTCCTCAAAGAGGGGCCTGGAGGCCGGTGGAGGGTGTATGCTGCTGGCTGAGGTGCTCACCTGGTTGTCAGAGGTCACCAGATGCTGCACTGTTTGGCCATCCGCTGTGGTGATCTCCTGGATGTAGGTGGCTTCTTCCTGCCAGGACCAGGCCAGCTCTAGCCTCGGCTCTGTGCGCATCACCCCTCCCTGCCCCATCCTGTGACCTCCCAGCCCAGGCTCTCACCTGATTGGCCACTGTCTGTTCCTGGGCCACAATGATATGCTCCTGGCCCAGTGCCTGCTGTAGCCGCTCTGAGCCCAGGACCCCGTGGCTGGACTGGAGTGCAGCTAGGCAGATAAGGGAGGGTACTCACATAGGGGCTTAGGTGAACCTGTAATTGCCCTGGCCCCTGGTCCCCACCCTGGTGTCCTGGCCTCCACCCTGGTGTCCTGGGGGCAGCTCACTGTGCAGTGTGGCCAGCGTCTCATCGTCACTGTTCAGGATGATGGTCTGGGTGGGGGTCCGGGCTGGGGTCCGGGCAGTAGGTGTCCCTGGCTTTCTCCCATCAGGGCTGTGTAGCCGCTGGATGTGGAACTTGAGGTGGCCATTCCGGTTGAAACTGAGGGGCCAGGGAAAGGCTCAGGAGCAGCCCCATCACACCTGCAGCAGCCCTCACACCCCACCCACCTGTCCCCAGCCTCACCGCTGTCCACAGAGGTGGCATGCAAAAGGCTTCTCGTTGGTATGGGTCAGCATGTGCCGCCGCAGGTCCTTCTTATTCTTGGAGGCAAAGCTACACTGGCTGCACTGGTGAGGCCGCAGGCTTGAGTGCTGTGCCATGTGGGCCTGGGGAAGGGGCAGAATCAGGGGTGCTGGCTGGGTGACAACATAGCCCCTCACCCACAGTGCTGCTGGGGAGTCTGTCCTCAGATGGGGAGGAGTTGCATATAAAGTATGAAGCAGACTGAGACCTGGTGCTTCTGTGTGCTGAGAAGGAAACGTCACAGGTCCCATCGTGAGGTCCTTACAGATCCTGCCCCTGTTCTGACTCAGTGTACCCCCACTAAGCCTAAGATATAGGCTCAGATGAGGGAACCTCTGAAGGGCTCTTCCAGCTGGGATATTCTGGGGTTCTGGGCCCTGCTCCCTCACTGAGCTGCTGTGAGGACTCAGAGCAAGGCTAGATCTGGAAATGGTAATTCCTGGGGGAAGGCCCCCACCAGAACCTGCCCTCCCCACCAACTTCCTTGCTCTGTGCGTTCTCCCTATTCTAGACAACCTGCGTTTCCCTGAGCACGCCTCATGCCACCATGCCTGTGCTGTGGCCTCTGGAGACCCAGGTTGGCCAGCACCCGCACCCTGAGTCCTGTTCCCTGTGCTCTGTCATCTGCATTCTATTCATGCCGGGGACACTGTTGGGCATGAGTCACACTGGTTTGGTTTCCCGCCAGACTGAATGCTGAACCCTCTCAGAGTCATCTCTGACCCTAGAAGGGGGCAGAGGGCTTGGCTTGGGGTGTTCAGTTAAGGTTTATGACACAAGTGGCCGAATGAGTGCCAGGAGAGGCACAGGGCGTAGCACCTACCCGGACCTCAGGCCACTGGCGGGCACTGAAGGGACAGTCAGGACACTTGAAGGCACTAGGTCCGGCGTGGGCCCGTTTATGACTCTCCATCTCTGCACGGCCAGGGAAGGCCTCAGCACAGATTTTGCAGGAAAACTTCTTTGATGATGCCGTGGCTGCAGATGGCGGCGAAGGTGGAACTCCCAGACCCAGGGCTTTGTTGGCCACAGGGGGTGGGGAAGCAGAGCCCTGGGAGTCTCCCACCCGGTGGGTCCTGGCTGGAGATGGGGGTTCAGGGCCGTCTCTGGGCAGACCCCCACACTGTAGCAGGGGCCACTTGGCTCCAGAGGCCAGGGAATCCGGATTTGGGAAGGAGATAGAGCCATCTGCAGTCAGCTGTAGGGAGATGGAGAAGCATGAGACACTGACGAGGATGGGGGAAAGATGAGAAATAGGGGAGGACTGGTATCCCAAGCCTCACCTCGATGTGGTGCAGCTGGGTCCCATCAGCTGCCATGATATAGTGGGTGCCAGCTTCCTTCAGGGTGTCACTCACAACCACAGCCTGGGCTGCCTCCCCTGGGGGCTCCTCACTGTGGGCACAAAAGTGGGGAGGAATGAGTGCCAGGAAGGGATGGAAGGCCACAGAACCCCCTACACCAAAAAGTCATCAACAGAGGGGTGACTGCCACCACGGGTGGCCTCCCTGGCATGAACTTTCATTCTGCCCCTTTCCTGCTGCACCTCGACAGTCTCTTCCAGAAACGGTGACCACAAGTCCAATGTATCATCCTGTTCACCCGTAGTAATCCTGGCACCCTTGGAGGGTAGGGTGGGCAGAGAGCCCCAGGGGTCTGACCAGGTGTATCAACAGGAGGGGCCAGTGGGGGAGGCAGGGCTGGCAAGTACCCGGAGACCAGAGCAGATGGCAGACACTGTGACCAGGCCACCCGAGCCCGCAGCCAGCCCAGGGACCCGGATTCCCATCCCAGCCACACACAGTGACACGTCGGTGCCTGGACGGAGGGCTTTCTCCGACTGCCCAGGACTTCATGAAGTGAGCATACACACAGTACTGGCCCGAACCTGCTCAGTGTAGGGGAAGCAGAGTGCAGTTGCCAGGCCTCCAGTGCCAGAGAGGAGCCTGAGCTTGCCTGCTGGGGCAGAACTGGACACCACCTTGGGGATCACCCACAACAAAGAGCATGTGACTTTAGAACCAAAGGTTCAACTCTTCACTTACTCCTGGTCTGACCTCGGGCCAGTTACTCAACGTCCCTGGCCTATTTCCTCACTTGTAAAATGAGAGAAACATGGATCTCACAAGAATGGTTTAGGTGAGTTCACGAATGTCCAGTGCCTGGAAAATCTAAGTGGCCCAAAAATAGTAGCTTCCAACCTCCTGAGAAAGCTGTGACTCTCATGGCTAATTATGTTACACGTATTAGGACTTTTGCTTCCCGCCAACTAGGCTCCAGTGGGCACAGCTCTTATTTGAGGCTCCCAGCATGCCTATCAATGGCTGAAGGGGGCCTTGGAGGCAGCAGGTCTCACCTGTAAGGTGTGCCAGGAGCTGACGTCCCCTCCTCCATAGGGGGTGCTGTGATGACGCTGTAGCCAGTCCCACCAAATGGACCCGGTGCCAGGGTGATCTGCTGCAGGTCAGGGGCGCCTAACTGGCTCTCTGCTGCCACGCTGCCCCCCGGC